TTCTCATTATCCATCCTGTCATTTTTCTAGCAGATGCGATTGATACAATGTTATGGTCCTTGAAGGTGAGATCCTCCGACATAATCACTCCCAGGTCTTTGACGTTGGTGTTTCGCTCTATTTTGTGGCCAGAATTTGTTTTGTACTCTGATGAAGATTTAATTTCCTCATGTTTACCATATCTGAGTAATTGAAATTTCTCATCGTTGAACTTCATATTGTTTTCTGCAGCCCACTGAAAGATTTGGTTGATGTCCGCCTGGAGCCTTGCAGTGTCTGCAATGGAAGACACTGTCATGCAGATTCGGGTGTCATCTGCAAAGGAAGACACGGTGCTGTGGCTGACATCCTTGTCTATGTCGGATATGAGGATGAGGAACAAGATGGGAGCTAGTACTGTGCCTTGTGGAACAGAGCTTTTCACCGTAGCTGCCTCGGACTTTACTCTGTTGACGACTACTCTCTGTGTTCTGTTAGTGAGGAAATTATAGATCCATCGACCGACTTTTCCTGTTATTCCTTTAACACGCATTTTGTGCGCTATTACGCCATGGTCACACTTGTCGAAGGCTTTTGCAAAGTCTGTATATATTACATCTGCATTCTTTTTGTCTTCTAGTGCATTTAGGACCTTGTCGTAGTGATCCAATAGTTGAGACAGACAGGAGCGACCTGTTCTAAACCCATGTTGCCCTGGGTTGTGTAACTGATGGGTTTCTAGATGGGTGGTGATCTTGCTTCTTAGGACCCTTTCAAAGATTTTTATGATATGGGATGTTAGTGCTATTGGTCTGTAGTTCTTTTCTGTTGCTTTACTGCCCCCTTTGTGGAGTGGGGCTATGTCTGTTGTTTTTAGTAACTTAGGGACGACCCCCGTGTCCATGCTCCCTCTCCATAGGATGGAAAAGGCTCGTGTTAGGGGCTTCTTGCAGTTCTTGATGAACACAGAGTTCCATGAGTCTGGCCCTGGGGCAGAGTGCATGGGCATGTCATTTATCGCCTGTTCGAAGTCATTTGGCGTCAGGATAACATCGGATAGGCTTGTGTTAATCAAATTTTGTGGCTCTCTCATAAAAAATTCATTTTGATCTTCGACTCTCAGTCTGGTTAGCGGCTTGCTAAAAACTGAGTCATATTGGGACTTGAGTAGCTCACTCATTTCCTTGCTGTCATCTGTGTAGGACCCATCTTGTTTAAGTAGGGGCCCAATACTGGACGTTGTTCTCGATTTTGATTTGGCATAGGAGAAGAAATACTTTGGGTTTCTTTCGATTTCATTTATGGCTTTTAGTTCTTCCCACGATTCCTGACTCCTAAAGGATTCTTTTAGCTTAAGTTCGATGCTTGCTATTTCTCTGACCAGTGTCTCCCTACGCATTTCAGATATATTGACCTCTTTTAGCCGCTCTGTTATTCTTTTCCGTCGCCTGTAAAGGGAGCGCCTGTCTCTTTCTATTTTACATCTACTCCTCCTTTTTCTTAGAGGAATAAGCCTTGTGCATACATCGAGTGTCACCGAGTTAATCTGTTCTAGGCATAAGTTGGGGTCTGTGTTGCTTAGTATATCTTCCCAGCTTATATCGGTTAGGACTTGGTTTACTTGGTCCCACTTTATGTTTTTGTTATTGAAGTTGAATTTGGTGAATGCTCCCTCGTGACTAGTCTCATTTTGTCGGTCTGGGGCTCCACGGATACATGTCTGAACCTCAATTATGTTGTGATCTGAGTATATTGTTTTTGATATGGTGACATTTCTTATCAGATCATCATTGTTAGTGAAGATGAGGTCTAGTGTATTTTCCAGTCTAGTAGGCTCTATTATTTGCTGGTTTAAATTGAATTTTGTGCAGAGATTTAAAAGCTCGTGTGAGTGTGAGTTTTCATCAGAGCTGCCTCCTGGTGTTATTTCTGCAACAATATTATTTGCTATATTCCTCCATTTTAGGTGCCTTAAGTTGAAATCCCCCAGGAGCTGGAAGATTTTCCAGACAGTGGTCAATTTTTAACAGCTGTTCCTGGAATTGCTGGGATGTTGCATCCGGAGGCTTGTAGACTACCACAATGACTAGGTTTTGGTTCTCGACCTTTACTGCTAAAACTTCCACTACATCATTTGAGGCATTAAGAAAGTAGGAACACTGCAGAAGGCCTACTGGCCCATACGAGGCAGGTCCTTATCAAAACGACATCTACCTAAAGCTACTCAAGAAATAACTCCCGTACCCCTTGACACCAATCAAACCCAGCCCCTCCCACTCATATATTTGTCCAGTCTCTTCTTAAAGCTACCCAAGGTCCTAGCCTCTATCACCCCACTGGGAAGACTGTTCCACGCATCTACAACTCTGTTAGAAAACCAGTACTTACCTATGTCTAATTATACTGGTTCATACTACCTTTCGGCTTTGGGCCGGTACACATGTCACCCATGGTTACAGGTGATGGTGAAGGTTGCTTCATCACTCCAAAGTACTTCAGACCATTGTTGAGGAGTCCAGTGAAGATATTTCTTTGTATAATCCAGCCTACGTTTCTTCTGTGACTTGGAGAGGATTGGTTTCTTAACCTGGCGTTGACTACTGTTGCCTATTTCTGACACACATCTGTTAACAGTTCTTACAGACACCTCTGAGAGAAGATATGGGGTTTTTATCTTTCTACTCTCTAGCAGTTATCATAGGTGTACTCTCTAATTGCTTCTTTAACACAGCTAAGGTATGAACAGAAGTCTTCTTCGAGGGGCCAGGCCGAGGTGTGGCAAAGGTTTATCAGACGGTAACTCGACACTGCCACCAGCCTTGAAACGCTGCACCCAGATCCTCACAGAACGCTCACATACACCAACATTCTCCACTATTTCTTTCTGGTGCGCAGTTTTGTCAAGCCCTATGATATGAGCTATATTTTCAGGTGTTAAAGACTTTCTTTTACCCATAATCAAACATATATAGCCCCAAACCCAAAGGGAACACCGGACAAAAGATGGGGCGGATGAGAGACAAAAGTTTAATACTTCCTCTCACCACAGCAGCCACTTGAGCACTGAGGAGTCACTGTGAAGTGTGGTGGCAGGCCGTAACATCATGCTAACAGCTGCTACCCGGCATAATGCACTGACGAAAAAAGACTTTCCATCTATGGTAGGCCTTTGATTTTCATCATGGCATTATTCCAGGGTGCTAACCTGACATAATGACTAGCTCTGTATATGTATATATGTGTAAAGTAAAAGGACACAAGTGCAACTAATGTGACATTTTATAGTGGCAACGTTTCGCTCTCCAGGAACTTTATCAAACCATAATGGCTTGATAAAGCTCCTGGAGAGCGAAACGTTCCCACAATAAAATGTCACATTAGTTGCACTTGTGTCCTTTTACTTTACATATTGTGGGTAATTCTACCAACATTATTACATGTATATATGTGTACATACACTCTTATACAGCAATTGTAACTTAGGTGATGTGCAGTGTTGTGAATAAATCAGCTTTGTAACATTAGTAAACCATCGTTTATATTGTTATGATTACTGTGGCAGTCATTAAAGATTTGTACGAAGTAACCATCCAGGGGGGGGTACTACCCACCTGGATAGTAACCATCCAGGGACGTACTACCCACCTGGATAGTAACCATCCAGGGACGTACTACCCACCTGGATAGTAACCATCCAGGGACGTACTACCCACCTGGATAGTAACCATCCAGGGACGTACTACCCACCTGGATAGTAACCATCCAGGGACGTACTACCCACCTGGATAGTAACCATCCAGGGACGTACTACCCACCTGGATAGTAACCATCCAGGGACGTACTACCCACCTGGATAGTAACCATCCAGGGACGTACTACCCACCTGGATAGTAACCATCCAGGGACGTACTACCCACCTGGATAGTAACCATCCAGGGACGTACTACCCACCTGGATAGTAACCATCCAGGGACGTACTACCCACCTGGATAGTAACCATCCAGGGGGGTACTACCCACCTGGATAGTAACCATCCAGGGATGTACTACCCACCTGGATAGTAACCGTTCAGGGAGGTACTACCCACCTGGATAGTAACCATCCAGGGACGTACTACCCACCTGGATAGTAACCGTTCAGGGAGGTACTACCCACCTGGATAGTAACCATCCAGGGACGTACTACCCACCTGGATAGTAACCGTTCAGGGAGGTACTACCCACCTGGATAGTAACCATCCAGGGACGTACTACCCACCTGGATAGTAACCGTTCAGGGAGGTACTACCCTCCTGGATAGTAACCGTTCAGGGAGGTACTACCCACCTGGATAGTAACCATCCAGGGACGTACTTCCCACCTGGATAGTAACCGTTCAGGGAGGTACTACCCTCCTGGATAGTAACTGGATAGTGACTGCTTGAAATGAATAAAAATGTGAAGAGGCATGGAAAAAAAGACTATAATGGCATCTTAGCCCTGAGCTGGCACTGGAAAAACTGTTTCATTGGTGGCAGCGGTGGGATGTTAATATTTTGGATGCTTGCATCTGTGACTAACTTCTAACTTGTACAAAACTAGATCAAAGGTATATATAGTATGGACAGGTTGATAAATAAGACACATGAGCAACGTCTGGGTGTCTCTCAAATAAAATATCCAACAAGGTAAAGCCCCTATGTTGTGGTTATATATGGTAAGGTATAGCCTCACTTGTTGTATATACCAATATATAGCTCCATTTTGGTTGTATATAGCAATGTATAACCTCTGTGTGGATGTATATGCCAATATATAACTACATTGTGGTTGTATTTGGCAAGGTATAGCCTCCAGCCTCTTATGTGGTTGTATTTGGCAAGGTATAGCCTCAATTCTGGTTGTATATTGCAAGGTATAGCCCCTGTTGTGGATGTATATGCCAAGGTATAACCTCTGTTGTGTTTATACACATGTGTATTTGTGTATACCAAAATGGAGGCTTTGTGTTTTGGTTACTGATAAGTGTTTTATTCTTCCCAGGACAACGATGGATCAGCTAATGAATGAAATGAAGCAGTTGGATGCCAGGATAGCTAAGTTATCCATTCAACTGAACAACCCTAACACACCCAAGGATATCATCAACCAAATGGGTGACTTCCTACAGGTGGGTGACCTCCTTCCTCAGGTGGGGGACTTTTGCTGGAGGTGAGTGACTCTTCAGTGGCTTGGGCTGAGAATGGAGACGGATGAAGGTGAGGCGGTCAGTCCCTCAGTCATGAATGTGTTCACTGATTTAGTCTTGATAAATCTGAATCTAAATCTGAACCAACTGGCTTGTGGTTCGTACGTCAGATTGTGTGCGGCCAGCAGTAACAGCCTGGTTGATCAGACCCTGATCCACTATGAGGCCTGGTCTCAGACCGAGCCACGGGGGCGTTGACCCCCGAAACCCTCTCCAGGTAAGGTGCGTCAGGAAACAAGACAAGTGTTTCCTGACATGGGTCTTAGATGATGACTCGCCTTTGGAGCTTTTGGTCATCTGACAGAGACCTTCTGCTGGCTTACTGGTCCACCCGTTTAAAAATTATGGTCATGGGTAGGAAGATGGAGGTTTATATAGGAGTCAGGAAAGGTCCAGCAGTCACCCTTTCCCATTCTTGGCTCAAGTCAGGTTACTTATTTGGGGGAAGTAATTTAGGTCTGTAGATTTTGGAATGTCTCTTGAGTAGGCTGTCACTAAGGAAAACTGAAGACCATGTCAAATTACCACCAGTTTATAATATGGCATTTTTTTCTGTAAATATTGTGTACGAAATATCTCATTCTGGGTGAGACTGACAGCATAGGTCTTTTTTTTTATCTAGCGACGTAAAGGATATTTAAAAAGGCAGGATACACAAGCACTACCAAGTATGGACATTGTTTTTTTGCTGTTTAATTCATGTTAAGCGCTAAACCCATGTGGGTCATTCAGTGCCAGACGTGGTGTAGGTTTGATCCTCCTTCAGCTGAGCACCAGGCAGACACTCTTCCTATTTGTACTCGCCTATATCAACATGGACGTTGAATATGTTCAATTTCTGGAAGGCTATCAGTGTGCCTCTGTCTTCCAGGTTGCTTCCAGTGACCTCAACTCACTGAAGGAAGGCATCGAAGAGGTGGAGAAGATCAAGATTGAGGTAGCTGAATACTTCTGTGAGGATCCAAACTCTTTCAAAATAGAAGAATGCTTCAAAATCCTCTTCAATTTCTGCTCAAGGTCAGTTATTTCACATTTAATTAATTTAACACACACACACACAGCTATGACTCTACCCATGCAACACAATTAGGTAAGTTAGGTGAGTACACGCAGGTGTGGTGAGGTGAAGAGGCTGCTAAGTGAACTGATACCCTGAAATGTGATGGGGCCGGATAACATCTCTCCATGGATCCCGAGAGAGGGAGTAGAGGTGCTGTGTGCACCACTAACAACAATCTTCAACACGTCTATTAAAACGGGATGACTACCTGAAGTGGAAGACAGCAAATGTAGTCACAACTTTTAAGACATGCAGCATTAAACTACAGACCCATGTTACTGACTTGTATAGTATGCAAATTCATGGAGAAGATTATCAGGAGAAGAGTGGTGGTGCATCTAGAAAGGAATGAGCTTATTCATAACCAGAACGGTTTCAGGGACGGGAAATCCTGTGTCACAGACCTACTGGAGTTCTATGACAAGGCAGTGCCAGTAAGACAACAGAGAGATGAGTGGGTAGATTACATTTTCTTGGACTGTAAAAAGGTTTTTGACACAGTTCCACACAAGAGATTAGTGCAAAAGTTAGAGGAGCAGGCAGGTATAATATGGGAAGAAAATGCAGTGGATCAAAGAATACCTGACAGGAAGGCAACTGCAAGTTATGGTACATGACGAGATATCAGAGTGGGCACTGGTGATGAGTGGGGTTCCAGAGGTCAGTCCTAGGACCGGTGCTGTTTCTGGTATATGTGAATGACATGATGGAAGGGATAAACGCAGAAGTGTCCCTGTTTGCAGGTAATGTGAAGCTAATGAGGAGAATTCAATAGGATGAGGATAAAGCAGGACTACAAAGGGATCTGAACAGGCTGTAAGCCTGGCCCAGCAACTGGCTCCTAGAGTTTAACCCCACCAAGTGCAAAGTTCTGAAGATCAGGGAAGGGCAAAGAAGACCACAGAGTATAATTAGGGAGCCAAAGACTGCAAACCTCACTCAAGGAAAAGGATCCTGGAGTGAGTATAATACTGAGCACATCTGAGGCGCACAACAACTAAATAACTGCTGCAGCATATGGGCGACTAGCAAACCTAAGAACAGCATTCTGACATCTCAGTGAGGAATCATTGAGAACTCTACACCGTGTATATCAGACCCATACTGGAGTATGTAGCACCAGTATGGAACCCGCCTCTGGTCAAGCACATCAAGAAATTAGAAAAAGTGCAAAGGTTTGCAACGAAACTAGTCCTGGAACTATAGGGCATGTCCTACAAGGAGAGGTTAAGGGAAATCAACCTGATGATACTGGAGGACAGGAGGGACAGGGACGACATGATAACGACATATAAAATACTGAGAAGAATTGATAAGGTGGACAGAGACAGGATGTTCCAGGGATGGGACACAGTAACAAGGGGTCACACATGGAAGTTGAAGACTCAGATGAGTCACAGGGATCTTTCTTCTTTCTTTCAACACACCGGCCGTATCCCACCGAGGCGGGGTGGCCCAAAGGGAAAAATGAAAGTTTCTCCTTTTACATTTAGTAATATATACGGGAGAAGGGGTTACTAGCCCCTTGCTCCCGGCATTTTAGTCGCCTCTTACAACACGCATGGCTTATGGAGGAAGAATTCTGTTCCACTTCCCCGTGGAGGTAAGAGGAAATAAACAAGAACAAGAACTAGAAAGAAAATAGAAGAAAACCCAAAGGGGCGTGTATATATATATGCTTGTACATGTATGTGTAGTGTGACCTAAGTGTAAGTAGAAGTAGCAAGACATACCTGAAATCTTGCATGTGTATGAGACAGAAAAAAAAAGACACCAGCAATCCTACCATCATGTAAAACAATTACAGGCTTCAGTTTTACATTCACTTGGCAGGACGGTAGTACCTCCCTGGGCGGTTGCTGTCTACCAACCTACTACCTAGAAGTCACAAGGATGTTAGGAAATATTTCTTGTCATAGAGATGTCAGGAAGTTGAATAGTCTGGAGAGTGATGTAGTAGAGGCAGGATCCATATATACCTTTAAGAAGGGGTATCATAAGACTCTTGGAGCAGAGAGAGAGTGGACATAGTAGCGACCAGTGAAGAGGCGGGTCCCTAAGTTGACTTAACTACTGCAACCACAATTAGGTGAGTGTACACATGCACACATACCAACACACAATAGTGAACAAAAATGCACTTTCCTGATTTCTCACATCATCAATAATGTGAGAAATCACAAAAGCACATGGATGTTCACTGTTTTTTCACAGTCGTTCTTTTGCATATTGTAAAAGCACCTGTTTACCGTGATCTTGTTGCACATATATATGTCGTGCTGAATATGTAGAACTTGTGATTTTGGCTTAAATAGCAATGCTCTTCATGCTGAATAAGGCAAGCAAAAATTTGTGTATCCAATAATTTCACAAAAATCATTCTGAACCTAACGATAAAAATATGTGTCTGTGTTTTTTATCTTCCAGTTGTGCCATTATCCACCTGTGACTTGCTTCGCAAACACTCTCCTGTCTACCTTTCTATTCTTGTTAATATTTTGCACATTGTAATCATGTCACCCTTCCTCTTGTTCTCTAGTGCAATCATGTCCCCATGCTTCTGTTGTTCAGTGTAATCATGTCCCCCTGCTCCTGTTGTTCAGTGTAATCATGTCACCCTTGCTCCTTCTATCCTCTTGTGTATTTATGTCATCCCTGCTCCTATTCTGTGATGTAATCATGTCACCCCTGCTCCTTCTATCCTCTAGTGTAATTATGTCACCCATGCTCATGTTCTCTAGAGTAATCATGTTACCCTTGCTCCTTCTGTCCTGGTTGATCAGGCCCTGATCCACCATGAGGCCTGGTCACAGACCAGGCCGCAGGGCGTTGACCCCCGGAACTCTCTCCAGGTAAACTCTCTCCAGGTAGTGTAATCATGCTTACTTATAGGTCTTACCCCTCATCTCTGGGGTAGTCTCATAGCAAACCTTTGCATATTTTTTTCCAGCTTCTTTGCATGCTTTATTAAATGTAGGTCCCATTCTTGGGTTGCATACACCATGATGGGCCTGAATTATGTAGTGTATAACATCGTGAATGGCTCCTTATTAAGGCTCTTGAAAGCTACCCTTAAATTTGCCAATCTTGCATTTGCTGTGGTCTTTATATGATTGATGTTTGCCTCAGGCATAATGCTCAGGACATTGCTCACTCAGAGGTCTTCCTCTTTCAATGAGGTCTGTATTTTTGTTTTCCAATCCTGTGCTCTGTTTCTAGTCTTCTTTGCCCTTTCCTGTTTTTAAAACTTTGCATATGCTGGGTTTAAGTTGATTATTATTATTATAATCAAAAAGAAGCGCTAAGCCACAAGGACTATACAGCTGGGTTTAAGTTGAAATAGCATACTTATCAGATCAGTCTGCAGCTTGTCGAGATCCATTTGTAGTCTTTCCTAGTCTGTTCCCATTTGTATCCTCTTCATTAGTTTTGTGTCATCTGTGAACAGGGATGCCTGCCACTCATTCTTCCTGTCATGTAAATATAATGGTATACAATACTGACAGGTTGATAAGCAAGACACATGTGCAGCAGTTATGTATCAAATACAGAGGAGGCCTCCTCTATGTTCAACTGAAGAAGCCTACTGTGTAGGCAAAACATTTTGGAATAATTATATCCAACTGTGGTACATGTATATCTTTCTTCTGTCATATCATTCACATACACAAGAAACAGTACTGGTCTAGGTACTAACCCTTGTAGAACCCCACTCACCTATTCCGACACTTCTCCGTGAGACAATCTCTAGTTTTTTCCATCCTCTTAAGTATTCCTTGATCCACTATAGAGCTTTCTTTCTTATTCCTGGCTCTGTGAGGAAGACTTCTGACTCTGACGGGGTTTAGACCAGAGTCCACCTGTCTTAACTGTTCCAGTTTTTTTTTATGGGAGGAAATTTTGTTACCTCTTTATTTCCATCCCAGAATTGGGTACTATGTATTTCCCCGAACTCTCGGGAGGCAGGGCTTAATAAGGCATAATAAATTTGGAAGGCCAAATAAGGGTGCGAGCACTTGTTTGCTTAGGAGTAAGATGCCTGGCCCTACCAGTGTTCAGGCCTGGGGTCCACCTGATTTAAGTTTGTAAGGAAGTTTATTTACATACAAATACACATAAAAACAGTTACACAAATTATCATACATAGTAACATATTTGTAAATTACCCAGGATAACCTCTCAAATAAAAAAAAGTGAGAGAGATTTATTTCCATTGGTGGTTGAAATTTCTTGTTTCCTTTTATCTTTCCAGAAAAGCTTGATTTCTTTCATCACTCCCACCAACATCTTTTCAAAATTCAAGTTATATTAAAATGATTAATTTCCTATGATAGCATATTGTGTTTGATCATAATAAAGATGAAATTCTCGAAATCCAGGTGGTAGGTGGTTAATGAAGTATCAGTGTTGGTGGCCCTTAATAATAACAACAACAACTTGTTGGTGGCCCTTAATAATAACAACAACAACTTGCAGGTTTATTCACTTAATTTTTAATCTTTTTCCTCATGATTTGCTAATGTTTTATAATATTTTCAGTGAGTAACTGTGAATTATACATTGTGTCATACTTCAGTCATTGATTATGGTTATTATTAAGTTAATTTAGTCGAAAAACGAACTACATTCCTTAAAGTTAGATAAGGTCTCTTAAGTTAGATTTTGTGCAATATTTAATTTTTTTTACTACCAATAATTTTTGTACCACTGAATATATCATTGCTTAGTTAATCTTAAGTTAATTTTAAGCTGTCCATAATGCTCTACATACAAGGGGCTTTGGCATGTTACACTTAAAAAATTGTATTCCTTGTACTTCTCTGTATCATGTTCAAATTAATAAATAAATAAATAAATATGTTCCGCGTAGTTGACCAACGTTTAAATTTCATTGTTTTAAATAGTACTAAATTGTAATAGGGACATCATACTGTAATTTTTATAAACTAATTCAATA